TCCTGACAATTTTCCCCCCAAAACCTAATGAGGTGTACAGTGCAACATTTGAAGTCACAGAACCTGGGATTGAATCCTGACCTTGTTGCTTTGTATTTATGTGACTTGGACAAGTCACTTAATCTCTCTGGACTTCAGTTTCATCATTTGAAAAATGGGAAGGTGGTGGGGAGGAAGGGGGAGAAAAATTTTAAACTCAAAAGCATTATGGAAGGGATTATTGATGAATCAAAATAAATAAATAAAAGTAAAAAAAAAAAGAATTGGGACCCAAAAAGATCTTGATAATCTAGAAAATTTGGACCAAATCTAAAATATGACTAAATTCAATAGTAGAAAATGCAGTCTTATACTTGGGTTAAAAAAAACTGTTCGCCACAAGTACATGAGATCAAGGGACATAGTTAGACAGCAGTTTGTCTGAGAAGGATCTGGGGGGTTTAGTAAAACTGCAAGTTTATGAGTCAGCAGTGTGATATGGCGGTCAAAAAAAAAAGCTGACATGATTTTGAACTGAAAATAAAGAGAAGCCCAGCTTGCAGGAAAAAAAAAGAATGGAAAGAGGGAGTAGATAACGTCTGAAGTCTCCTTCCATCGTTAAATCTGTGACCTAAGTATGTTAAAGAACTCAAAACTAGATTTTTTTCCCCCCACAAGTTCTGCCACCAGTCAAAGCTTACCAGGATTCATCAAAAATCCCCTCCACAAGGGGTCACATTGGTAGATAGAATTACAGAACTTTAGGTCTGGGAGGAACTTTGGTGGTCAGCTGTTTCCAACCCCCTTTATTGATAGAGATTGAGCTTTGACAGTTTACTACTCCTTAGCAGTGTGTTCTAGGTGAAGCTGCTTTAGTGTGTGACCAAAAAAAAAAAAAAATATATATATATATATATATATGTGTTAAGCAAAATTATAATAATTTATACAGTGCTTTATTTCATTTGATCCTCACAACGATCCTCTAAGGTGCTATTATTCTTCCATTTTACAGGTAAAGAATGATGATTAAAGAGGTTAAATTATTTGCCCAGTTAAGTGGCTAGATTAAAGAGGTTAAATTATTTGCCTAGTTAAGTGGCTAGGGCAGAATTTGAACCCAGGTCTTACTGACTCTCAGGTCCAGCATTCCACTGCCTGATGGTACCTTTCATGGTCAGCAGTTCAAAATTATGGATCAGCAAAAAAATACCATATAGGGTATTTTTGGAGAAACAATAGATAAAAGATTAATCATAAGCAATTATTTTATGACCTTTTTTTAACTTTCATATTGCTCTTGGACCTAGAGTTTAGATTATTGTCTTTTGTTTCATTTTCTATATAATGAAAACTCTACTCAAACAATTCTATACTTCATTGAAGTTATATGCACCCTACTTTAAATTAAATTTAAATGAGATATCTTATCATTTTTAGGTTTTCTCCTTACCACTTAAAAGTCTGAGTGGATAAGCTTTTCTTTGGGGGATCAAGACATGACCTGATCATAATCAATATTCTTATTTTTCATACTAAAGGTTTTAGAACAGTCTTTTCTATTGAAGGTACCACATTTCCAGTTCTGGATCACAAGGAGTATAAACATCCACATGAGCATCTGAAGATAACAGGGTTCGGTTTGGACTAGGTGGAAGGAAGATATACCCCTGATGAAACATTCACCAAAAAAAGACTTGTGTTAACACCTTACTTTAGATCCCAATCCCCAGATTTCAGTTAGAAGAAACACTTAGCTTAAATCTAGATGAACTATATCTACAGCAGTACTCTAATCCAGTGGTTCTTAAAGTTTTCCACAGTGGTAGAACCTTTCAGTTTAAATAAAACTTTGGCAGAACCCTTGTAGTAAAATCATCTAAAATTATTATTTTAATGCCTATTAAATAACATAAGGTTCATTAAAAAACAAACTTTGGATGTTACAGGGTCTCTTGCAGGATAGCATAAGAAATATTGCCCTAATCTACCAGTTTAGTAATCCAGAATTTTTTAAAAAATCGTTTTAGTCTGGCAGATTTATTCTATGTGACTTTAATAATCTGTTGTAGAAAATATTTGTAGGAATCTAAATTAAAGTAACTGGCCTATCATTCAGAGATGCTTTTCTCTTCTGAGGGGGAAGAATCAGGACATTTGCCCTTCTGTAGTCCTGTAGTACGGTAAGAAATAACTCGTTTGGACACAGGAGGGATGAAGTTAAAAGCATGCAACCATGAGTGTCCTATAGACTAGAACACAAAGCAGGAGTTCACTATTTATCTCTAATCCAAGCCACAGAATCTCTCCTCTGTTTCTTTATTGGCTGAGTACTCCAGCGTGTACAACTTTCTGTATGCCTTTTATACATCTACCCTTTGATATGTCCTTCTCTCCTTCACATATATTGCCATGTTCAGAACATGGGTCTCAGCCCCACCTTAAGGTGGAGAAGTCTTCATGAGCCTATTAAGCATGCTCACTCTAAGCAAAGCTTAACCTTTGTCCTACTTACTGACTTCTAAAAGCAAAAAAAAAAAGATAAGACCACCTGTATCAGTTTTACTTAGTTACATTTCTAGTGGTTATTTCAATTTTATGGAAAACATCTCTCAGTACCTTTTATATTCTCCAAAATCTTTAAAATATCATTGATAATTGCCCAGCAATTTTATCTTCCATTACCCTAGGTTCCAGTTCATCTGAACCAGGGGACTTGAACTCATCGGGACAAGTAGATGCTTTTATTATCCCCTTACTTTCTTGAGTACCAACTCCCTATTAGCTTTTATGGTTTTAGTCTCTCCCATCCAGAGGGAAACCTTTATTAGTCATCATATTCCATCCTAAGCAGTGGTTCTATCTCTTTAGTCAGTCAATCAGTAAGCATTTGTTAAGTACCTGCTATGTGCCAGACATTGCTAAGAGTGGGAGATACTAAAAGAGGCAATGCCAGGGACAGTCCCTGCCCTCAAGGAACTTACTGTCTTAATCTCTTTTTCTCAACATAGCTTGTGGGGGTGGTTGTCCTTAGCTTCTCTAGCTCGCCTCAGCGTATTTTGAACTTTTAGATTCCTAACAATGTTTAGTAGTACTATGCCATGCTTTTGTATTTATGATATATTGCCTGCTTTTATCTTCTGTTCATTTTTTTTTCCACATCTGAGTTGTTTGGTGAGTTCTCTATATATCCACATTTATTCTCTTCAAGCACTTTACATTTTTCTTACTCATTAGAACTGTCTTCTTTTTATTCTCTTTCTGTTCCACACATACCCTCAAAGTAGATAATTAATTTTGTTCAGAACTACAGATCTAAGTGGTCCAAGAGTTGAGTCTTATGCTAAGCAGGTCTTATGCTAAGGTAGATCACAAAAAGCTGGAGCCCTTTTAATATCACTCATCATTCATTTAATATCACTCAGGAAAAATGCAAGAGTAGAATTCCTTTGTTTCCTGGGGCTTTGATGGGGTGGTGGGACCTGGACCCCAAAAAGCCCTAAGACCATATCAAAGTAACCAGATGCCCCCCCAGCCCAAAATTTTTTCCCTTGTTACAGGCACAGAGTTGACCCTATAATTCCTCAAATAAAAGTTATCTTAGGGATGCCTGACCCAAGAACTCTGTCTTTGGCACCAGATCCCCAAGGACCAGCCTCTGGCAGTAAAAAAAAAAAAAACCCTCTTTTCTTCCTTGAAGGCTGGTATCAACAAAGCTATCTTTGTTAACTCCCTCAGTTGTCCCATCCATTCCAGCAGCCAGCACCCAGACTACTTACATGTACTGACTACTTCCTAATCCCCCTACCCCATCACCTAATTAGCATATTTGGCTCTCTTTTTCCTGTCCCTTTTCCATATAAGCTTTGGTATCACCCCATCAAGTTGCAGGTTCCCTTGGAGCTTCGCCTGCTTCTATTGGTATCACCATAAACTTTGCCACTTGATTAAGGGAAAACTTGAGTATGTAAATTCATTTCAGGCAGCTCCACCTTGTACCCTGTCATTCTTGGAGTTCCTAGCACCCCTAAACCGCATCGGTTTCACATAGTCTTGGGTGTCAGAGGCTGTTTTTAATCTAACTCTGGGGAAAGGACCCAGTTTCTCCCCTTATAATTTTTTTAGAAATTTAAATAAAAGAGGGGTGTACATTCTATCAGAAAGTCCAAATTGTAGAAAACTTTTGAGGAAAAGAAATTTCATTATGTTTAAATACTTCCTGCATTATAAACGAAGTATAAACGGCTTCTAGTAATTATATGAGTTAAGTTAAAGGGAAAAATTAATTGTATGTTATGTATGATTGTACATTATTAACATCTCCTTTTAGCATATGATAATTGTTGGGTCTGTAAGAAGATTTTAAGTAAGTGAAATGACATACATAGCTCACATATAAAATCATAGGAATGTAGCTTCCAAACAAAAAGGGTCTTATGAAGGAACTAGATGCCTGGGTTTTTTTTGTTTTGTTTTTTGATTGAAATAAGAAAACTGAGGACCCACTCCACCCCCATTGTGGTTAAGTAACTTAGTATAAACATTTGAATTATTCTCAGTGCAGGATTAATAGTTTTTGAATTTATGTTTTACTAATCTAATTTTACTAATCATAGTCTTTAGAAGAGCTGAAGAGGTCATGAGGGGAAAATGTTTAAGAAGCCCTGGTCTAAAGCATAGGAGAACTGGGCCCCTAAATGGCTGATGAAACGCTTAACTAACCCACAGTGCCTGTTGCCCCATTTGTTGGATGAAGATAACATCACCTTGTCTACCTGTCTCACAATATTATTATGCTTTTTAAAGAATAAAATAATAGATATAAATGCACTTGGAAAAGTTAGAAGTATTAAGTGTTAATTAATTACTTAACTTAGTGTTACATTACTGAATTCCAATATTAATTCCAAAATCCCTTAGGAAATTCAGTCTTGTGACAGTATCTGTACTAAAGGACACTATCTACATAGATTGAAACTCTGATATCTAACTTTTAAAAAGCTTTTGTATATGTTTTTCAGTTCTGCTTGAGATTTCAAGAATATTGAATACTGGCTTGGATATGGAAACACTCTCTATTTGTGTACGTCTGTGTGAGCAAGGAATAAACCCAGAGGCCTTATCCTCTGTCATTAAAGAACTTCGCAAGGCCACAGAAGCACTAAAGGTGAGGAAGACTATTAATTTTTGCCTCCAAAAAATTTTTATGGGAGGTAGAACTAGGTCATTAGTAGAATAGTGCAAGTAATGGCTAAACAAATTGTGATGCATCACTATAGTAGAATATTACTGCACAATTAAGAATCTACAAATATAAAGGATTTAGAGAAATATGAGAAGACCTGTGAACTGATGAAGGGATTAAGTAGAACCAAACACAATGAATGCAACAGTGTAAAAAAGCTTCTCCTCCTCCCCCCAAAAAAGCCCCAAATTTGAGACTATGTAATTACAATGACCAGACTTGACTCTGAAGAAGAGTTGATATATTTTTCACCTTTTTGTGGTTGTGGTGATATTTGTTTGGAATATTATACAAATTTCAGAGAAAGTGGTTGTGTTGGTTTTGCTGAATTGCTTTCTTTTTTTTTTACAAGAGTTGACTTCCTGGGAAGTGGGGATATATTCAGAAATGAAGATGTTACAACAACAAAAGTGACCAGTGAAAATAAGATTTTTTTTTAAAGAAACATTAGGAGAATTCTCCAAGTCCAAAAGAACACGAGAACTCCACTCCCGCCTTTTCAGGCATTACTTCTTCAGTAACCCTTTCTCCTTACCAAGGCCAACATGCATCCTTGATCCCATCTTCTCTTGTCTTTTCCAGCAGATTCCCCCTACTAGCATCCCCACTCTGTCTTCAGGTACTCCCTAATAACTTCTCTTCTGCCTGCAAATGTATCAGTGTCTCCTCTATACTTAAAAAAACCCTCACTTGATTCTACCGTCCCCAGTAGTTATCATCCCATAGTTCTCTTTAGCTGAACTATGTATGCTTGTTTCTTCTGCTTTTTTTCCTTTTCTTTCTCTTCTAAAACTCTTTGCAATCTGGTTTCTGAGCTCCAACTGAAACTACTCTCTTTAAAGTTACCTAATGATCTTAATTGCCAAAGTTAATGACCTTCTCAAAATATTAGTCTTTGAAGTGTCTGCAACATTTGACACCATTAATCACCCACTTCATGTATACACTTTAGGTTTTCTTGGCATTGCTTTCTCTTGGTTCTCCTATTTGTCTAACCATTCCTTCCTTCCCAGTCTCTTTTGCTGATTCTTCACATTAACAGTGGGTGTTCCATAAGTGTCTTTTATGAGCCCTTTTTTTCCCCTTTATGGTCTCTCAGTAGTTTCCATAAATTACATTATTATCTGTATGATTGATCTTTATATATGGTCCTAGTCTTTCTCCTCAGCTATAGTGCCACATTACCCATTACCTTTATATATATATCTCAAGCTTAACATTTCTAAAACGCACATTTTTTTTCTCCAGACTCTCCCTACTTTGAACTTCTCTATTACTATCAGGCACTACCATCCTCCTAGTCATTCAGTAAGTATTTATTAAGTGACTGCTGTGAGCCAGATAACTATACTAAGCAGTGTGGCTGCAACTACAATAAATGATATTCCCTACTTAAAAGAAAGGACAACTCGACACAGAGTTACCTCGCCTGGAGTACCGAAGACTTATTTTCCCTGAGTTCAGATCTGACCTTAGACACTTCCTAGGTATGTGACCCTGGGCAAGTATGTCATTTAATCCTGTTTTCCTCAGTTTCCTCACCTGTAAGATGAGCTGGAGAAGGAAATGGCAAATCATTCCAGTATCTTTGCCAAGAAAATCCCACATGGAATCATGAAAAAACAACTGAACAACAAGAACTTAAAAGAAGCTTATATTCTAATGAGGGAGACAAGAACACATAAATATAAAGAAAATAATTACAAAGTAGTTTGGAAAGGCTAGCACTAACAACTAAAATAATTAGTAGAAGGTGGTGCTATGCCCACAACCACGTTGTCATTCTTAACTCTTCACTCTTAGTCACATCTCCAATCCATTACCAGAATCTTGTTTCTACCTTTATTGTGTTTCTCATACCTCTCCCTCTCTTCACTTTCACAGCTTCCATTCTACTTAAGGCAGACATTGCCTGTTTCCTGGACTATTGCAATAGCCCTCTGGTTGATTTCCCAGCCTCAAGTCTCTTCTCACTCCAGTTCATCCAGATTTCAAATATAAACTCCTTTTTGTTTGTTTGTTTAAACTCCTCTTAATGACTTGGCTGCTTCCCACCTTTCCAGTTTTCTTAGATTTTACTTTCTTCCACAAACTCTACATTTTATTAGTTCTGGTCTATTTGCCTTTCCTTGAACATGACACTCTATCTCTTATCTCTTTGCCTTTGTACTGGCTGTCTCCTCCTCTACCCTTTCTTCCCCACTTCTATGCCCCCTCACCCCCAATTCCTGGAATTTTCTTCCATCTCATCTCTTCCTCATAGTTTCCCTAGCTTCACATCTCAACTCATAAGTCACCTTCTGCAGAACACCTTTCCCGTATTTGAACTCAGGTCCTCCTGACTCCAAGTCCAGAGCTCTATCCACTGTGCCACCTAGTTGCCCCTTCATCATTTCTTATAGCACAGTAGTATTCCATTACATTGATATACCACAACTTGTTCAGCCATTCCTCTCAATTTCTAATTCTTTGCCACCACAGCAAGAGCTGCTATACATATTTTTGTATATGTGGGTCCTTTTCCCATTTGTATGATCTCTTTGGGATACAGCCCTAGAAGTGGTATTGCTAGGTCAAAGGGTATACACAGTTTTATAGCACTTTGGGCATAGTTCCAAATTGCTCTCCAGAATGGTTGGATCGGTTCACAACTCCACCAACAATGCATCAGTGTTCCAATTTTCCCACATCTTCTCCAGCATTTCTCATTTTTCTGTTTTGTCATGTTAGCCAGTCTGATGTGTGACCTTAGAGTTGTTTTGATTTGCATTTCTGTAATTAGTAGTGATTTAGAGCATTTTTTCATATGACTACAGATAGCTTTAATTTCTTCATCTGAAAACTGCCATTCATATCCTTTGACTGTTTTTCAATTGGGGAATACCAGTTGCATTTTAATAAATAGTTCTCAAACTTTTCTAGTATGAGGGCCCATTTGTAATGTCCAGAAATTTAGTGCTCTCTCCCCTCCATCCCTCCTTCTCCATACTGGTTATATTAGTATTAATTGATTAAGAAGATACATGATGGCAGAAAATTGTTAGGAATCTAGTAATAGAAGGTGAACCTGTGATTTCATTGGCATAAACTACTTGATGGGGCTACTTCCTCTATTAGTAAATGTCAGCACTTTTCTGCAACTTATAATCCTAGAGGGTGGCCTAAAAAGGTTTAGTGACTTTCCAGGGTCAAATGTCCAGTATTGGTTAGGAATAGGACTTAAACCCAGATCTTCCTGGCTCCAAGGCCAGCATTCTATACTCCGTGTTGCCTCTCAACATGAACTCGGTAATGCTCTTAAATGAATTCATGTTTCACTAATAACTGTTGTAATTCATACACACAACACACACACACACACACACACACACACACATACATACACACACACACACACACACACACACACACACACACACACATGCTCCCACTGGCAGATATATGGGTTTATAAACACATACAAATGCTTAATGCACATACAGATTCTCAGACCACTTCTACAAAGATGTATATCCACAGGTTGGAAACTACTGAATTTATTCTCTCTTTCTGTTGATTTCTTTTGCTGTATTTTTGTTTTCCCATAGTTGAGTCACAGTCAGTATTTTGCTTTCATTCATTTCCCTCTCTGAATGGTATAAGACTGTATTCAATATAAATTTATATATTTTTAGTTTTCAACATTCACTTCCACAGGTTTTTGAGTTCCAGATTTTCACCCCATCTCCCCCTTCCCCCCACCCCAAGATGGCATGCATTCTGAATATCCCTTCCCCTAGTCTGTCCTCTCTTCTATCTCTCTCCCCTTCTCTTATCCCCTTCCCCTTCTATTTTCCTGTAGGGCAGAATAGACTTCTGTACCCCATTACCTGTATTTCTTATTTCCCAGTAGCATGTGAAAATAGTTTTTTAAGCATATGTTTTTAAAACTTCTTCCTCCCTCCCCACCCATCCTCATTGAAAAGGCAAGCAACTCAGTATAGGCTGTACATGTGCAGTTAATGCAAAACAAGTCCATAGTAGACGTGTTGTGAAAAACTAACTCGATTTCCCTTAATCCTATCTTGCCCTCCCATTTATTCTATTCTTTCTTTTGACCTTGTCCCTCCTCAGAAGTTTACTTCTGATTACCCCTTTCCAATCTGCCTCCTCTCTATCACCCCCTGTCTCTTGTCCCCTTCTCCCCCTATTTTCCTGTAGGGTAAGACAGATTTCTATACCCAATTGAATGTGTATGTTATTCCCTCCTTAAGCCAAATCCTATGAGAATGAGATTCACTCATTCCCTTTCACTTTCCCCTGTTTCCCCTCCACTGTAGGAGACTTTTCTTTTCTGTTGTTTTTTTTGTGAGATAATTTACCCCATTTACCTTCCCTTTCTTTTCTCCAGTATACCTCTCTCTCATCCTTAATTTTATTCTCCAGATATGACCCCTTAATCTTCAACTCACCCTGTGCCCTCTATCTATCTATCTACATATAATTTTTTTCCTCCAACTACTAATACTGACAAAGGTCTCATGAGTTATAAATATCATCTTTCCATGCAGGAATGTAAACAGTTCAATCTTAATAAGTCTCTTATGATTTCTCTTTCCTGTTTACCTCTTCATGTTCCACTGAGTCCTGTATTTGAAAGTCAAATTTTCTATTCAGCTCTGGTCTTTTCATCAGAATGCTTGAAAGTCCTCTATTTCACTGAATGACCATTTTTTCCCCTGAAGGATTATACTCAGTTTTGCTGGGTAGGTGATTCTTGGTTAATCCTATCTCCTTTGCCCTCCAGAATATTATATTCCATGCCCTGCAGTCCTTTAATGTAGAAGCTGCTAAATCTTGTGTTATCCTGATTGTGTTTCCACAGTACTTGAACTGTTTCCTTCTGGCAGCTTGTAATATTTTCTCCTTGACCTGGGAACTCT